GAAAACAAAAATCAGAACATCACCAGCACCTCCAAAAGAACATCATGCACCCTCCCCTATTCCACCCCCACAACTATTTTTTGAAGTTTTGAAAAAATGAAATCATACAGCAGTCTACTTTTGTGTCTGTCTTCTTCCACTCAATATTTTGTTTATGAGATTCATCTTATATTGTAGCATGTAGATATTCAATGATACATGCATTCTGTGCCGCTATGAATATTCATGTACATGCTTTTTGATGAACATACATGCACCTTTCTGTTGGGTATATATCCTGAAGTAAGATTTTGGTCATAAGTCTTGTGTATTTTCAATGTTAGAAGATTCTGATGCACAATCTTCAAAGTACATTGTACCAACTTCTAATTGGTTGTACCAACAGCAATGTATGAGAGGTCTACTTGCTTCACTTTCAACAGAAGTTGATACTACTTGTCTTTTTCATTTTAATCATTTGAGTATATGTAACATTGTTTTGAGCTGTAATTTTAATTTTATTGTCCAGATTATTATGAGTTTGAACTCTTTTTTGTGTGTGTTTAATGTCCTTTTGAATATTTTGGAAGGAAAAACTTGTTCAAGTTCTCTACCCATATTTCTATAGATTTGACTGCCATTTTCTTTTCATACATATTTTAAAGAGATGAATTCTCTGTTTTACACACACACATATACATACACACACATCCTCTGAATTTTTTCTTGTACTGGGAAATTCTTAATTTTAATGTAGTCTAATATGTCATATTTTTACCTTTTGGTTAATGCTTTTTTTTAAAAAAAGAGATCTTTTCTGAGACTGTTTTTCTTTTAACAACAGTATTATTTAACTTTTACATTTAGTCATGTGATTGAAATGGTTTTTTAAAGTGTAATTATCAAATTGATCCAGACACATTTACTAAAAATACAATTCTTTTTCTTTGGCACTATAGAGCATCATTACTTATATGTCAACAACTATATAGGTGAAAGTCTGTTTGTGGATCCTATGATCTGTTCTATTTATCTATACAAAAATTGAGTAATTTATAACTAATTAATTATTACAATTATTGAAATATAGTGTAAGTCCTCCAGCTTTGATTTCTCTTAAGATTACTTTTCCTATTTTAGGCTATTTGCATTTCCACATGTATTTTAGCCTACTGTGATTTTGATTGGCATTGTACTTAACTATAGATCAATTTGTGGAGAATTAACCCCTTTAAAATTTTGAGTTTCTTTTTTAAGTTTGTTTTGAGAAAGGTGAGAATGTGCACGGGCAGAGAGAGAGAGGGAGATAGAGAATCCCAAGCAGGCTCCACACTGCAGAGTCCAATGCAGGGCTCATACCTATGAACTGTGAGATCATGACCTGAGCCAAAATTGAGAGTCAGATGCTTAACTGACTAAGCCACCCAGGAACCCCCATTGAGTCCTTTATTTCATAAATTTAATATATCTCTCTGTTTAGTTCTTGTTTTCTTTCAATAATGTTTTATAGCTTTTACCATGATAGTTTGCACATTTTGTTATTGAAAATGATTCTTTTTTTAAAAAAATGTTTTATTTATTTCTAGGAGAGAGAGAGAGAGACAGCGTGAGCAGGGGAGGGTCAGAAAGAGAGGGAGTCACAGACTGAAACAGGCTCCAGGCTCTGAGCTGGCAGTCAGCACAGAGCCCGACGCGGGGCTCGAACCCACGAACCGCGAGATCATGACCTAAGCGAAAGTCGACGCTTAACCGACTAAGCCACCCAGGCGCCCCTGAAAATGATTCTTTATAATTTGTTATGCTACTAAAAATGATTCTTTACAATTATTTTTTCCTTTTGGTTTGCTGTTATGTAGAAATATCTTTTATACACTGATCTTATATCCAGTGACATCTTGCTAAATTCATTCTTTTAGTCATAATAATTATTTGTATTATTTTTCTATATACACAATCATTTCATCTGAGAAGAACCATAATTTTGTTTCTTTCTTTTCAAACCTTATTTTTAATTTTTTAAAATTTTTTAGTTTCATTACTAATGCATTAAATAGGACTTTCATTGCAATGCTAAATAAAAGTGGTCATAGTGAGCACCCTTATTACATTGCCAGTTTATGGGGAAAAGATTTCAACATTATACCAGTAAGTGTGATATATGATGCAGGTTATTCATAGATACACAATGGTTGCTTAAAAGTTCTTTCTATTTCTAAATTGCTTAGAGTATCTAATCATACACTGAAGTTGAAATTTATCAATAATAGTTATGACTGTTAAGAGGATTGTTCAGTTTTCTCCATTCTCTGTTAATATTTTAAATTACATAGAATTATTTTCAAATGTTAATCACATTTTGAATTCATCAGATAAACTCCACTTGTTTTTTTTTTCCTCTTTAAGTTTTTATTTAAATTGCAATTAGTTGACATACAGTGCAATATTAGTTTCCGGTATACACTATAGTGATTCAACACTTCCACACAATACTTGTGTTCACCACAATATATGCACTCCTTAATCTTCATCTATTTCACCCATCCCCTCACCCACATTCTCTCTGATAACCATACATTTATTCTCTGTAGTTAAGAGTCTATTTCTTTGTTTTTTTTCTCTCTCTCTTTTTGTTCATTTGTTTTGTTTCTTAAGTTTCACATATGAATGAAATCATATGGTATATGTCTTTCTCTGGCTGACCTATTTCACTTAGCCTAATACTCTCTAGTTCCATCCATGTCACTGCAAATGGCAAGATTTCATTCTTTTGTATGGCTAATACTCCGTTGTATACACATGCCACATCTTTATCTATTCATCAGTTAGTGAACATTTGGGCTTTTTCCATAATTTGGCTATTGTAGATATGTTGCAGGTATCCCTTTGATTAATACTTTTGTATTCTTTGGGTAAATATTTAGTAGTACAGTTCCTGGACCATAGGGTATTTTTAACTTTTAGAAGATCCTTTTGGTTTGGATATATGATTATCTTATATAGTGCTAGATTCACTTTACTGTATTTTATTTAGGATTTGTATATCAATATGCTCCTGAAGAGTTGGTGTGTAATTATTTTTTTCTGTAGTTTCTATCTTCTTATTTTTGGTTTGACTTGTTAAGATTTTATACATTTTAATAATATTTCAAATAGCCAAATTTTGGCCTTGTGTGTGTGTGGTTTATTATATATTTGTTTTTTTATTTACTTCTGCTCTAATCTTCATATTTTTTCTTCAGTTTCCTTGGAATTTGATTTGTTTTGTTTTGTTTTTTTGATATATGAGATGGAATCTCAGATCATTGATTTTTAGTCTTTTAAATTTTCTTTTAATAATGTACTTAGTTGTATTCTGCAAGTTTTGAGTGCCAAATTTTCAGTTTTAGTTTGTTTCCAGGATTTTGTAATTTCCATTTTTATTTCATTCTTGACCGATGGATTACTTAGGCATATATTCCTTAATTTTTAAATTTGGGATTTCTAAGTTATATCTTTTTGATTTATTTCTAGTTTAATATCACTGTGGTGAGGGAACATGCTCTGAATTATTTCAGTACTTTTAAATATGCTGAGATTTAGTATGACCCAGCTTATGATAAATTTTGGTAAATACACACTTGAAAAGAAAAAATATATTTTGTCATTTTGAGATGCTGTGTTTCCTCCTTGTTAATTGAGTCAAATATATTTAGATCATCTAAATTATAACTAATTGTTTTGTCTGCTTGCTCTATCAGCTACTAATTACTAACACTACTGAGAGTGGTGTTTTAATATTTTCCACGATGATCTATATCTCCTTGTGCTTTTGTCAATATTTGGGGTTTTTTATTAGATGTATATAAAGTCTGATTTATATCATGCTGGTATGTTGACCACTTTATCATTAAGATATGCACTCTTTATCTCTATCCTCTTATTATCTTCAAGTCTATTTTATCTAACATTAGAATAGCTTCACCAGCTTTTATTTGGCTAATGTGGTTTTAGAACAAATCTTTGCCATCTTTTTTCTTATTTTTCTCTATTTCTCTTGCAGGTAGCTTACAGTTTTGTGCCTTTTTATCCTGTTACATAATCTTAAACTTTAAAATGTGAATCTACTCCATTTACTTTTAATGCAATTACTGATGCATTTGTTTTAGATCTACCACTTATACCATCTTATTAATGTTTTGGGTTTTTTTCTCTATTTTACTTACGATTTCATATTCTTTTTGGACAAATAAAATATTTTTATGTCACTTTTAATCTATCAAAGTTTTGATCATAGGCTATTTCATTATTTTAGTCTTTATCTTAGAAATATTCATTATTAATATGCATTATTGGTTTATTACAGACTAAAATAATTTCTATTTTCTTGGTCTCTCAGTATTGCTAGAACATTAACATTCTTTAATTTTATTTATTTTTTCTCAATTTCATGTTATTATCATGCATTTAATGTTGCAAACTTCATAAAATGTTACTATTCTTGCTTATTTAGTTAAAATTCATTAATAATCACCCACATATTTACCCCTTCTTTTATACTTCATATGTTTAAGCAATTCAGTGATTCCCTGTGGGATCGTTTCTTCTGCCTAAAGAACTCACTTATTTAATACCTATTTTAATAGAGGTTCATTGGTGATAAATTCTCTCAATATTGTTATTTTCATTGTTATTAAAAAAATTGGAAAAATATTTTTGTGTCTCTTCTATAAATATAGTGAAATAAAAATGAATCAATATGTTTTAATAAGTAATTTTCTATTTCTAACTGCATTTATTAAAATTCCCAGAATAGTAGTAAAAGTGCCTAATGTAAACGTTCTTATCTTTTTCCTGACGTTACGGGGACTTCCTTTCTATTTTATACTAAAATAATAACATTTGCTATTAATATGTGATTTTTTGTAGTAATAAGGCTTCATTGTGACTCCATTATTTTTTTTCTAAAATTATTTTCTCGGGGCACTTGGGTGGCTCAGTTGGTTAAGTGACTAACTTCAGCTTGGGTCTTGATCTCACAGTTCATGGGTTTGAGCCCCACATCAGTCTCAGTGCTGACAATTCAGGCCTGGAGCCTACTTAGGATTCTGTGTCTCCCTCTCTCTGCCCCTCCCCTGCTCATGCTCTGTCTCTCTCTCTCTCTCTCAAAAATAAATAAACATTAAAAAAAATTTTCCCTTTGCTTAATCAAGAATAATTAGTAATATCTATCAGTAATGCCCTTATACCTAATCACCTAATAATATAGTGATTATACTTTGATCAATTACTGTGTTAGGTGTTATTAAACTTTCCAAATTTTTAAATAGAATTACAAAAGTTCTGTTTTTTTCCTACATAAGTGTGAGGTACCCACCCAATATTTTTTGGAAAGTAACTCTTTATTTCCCAGATTATTTTATCCCACCAGTGCATACTTGCCCGCCATACATCAGAAGCAGTGATCTCTCTCTCTCTCTCTCTCTTTTTTTTTTTGGAGAATATGGCTGGAAGGTATTCTAGGCAATATTGTTCCTGGAAATCTTGCATGATCTGGGTGTTTTTTACTTTTATATGCAAAATTTTAAATTCTGGCTTTAGAGCAATAAAAATGAATCATTTATTTTATTTAATTAAGATAAAAATGGGTTATCTTAAGGAATTACAAAGATTTCTTTAAATATTCAAACCATTAAAAATATATAAACATGAATGTGAATTATTTATTTTGAAGAAAGATAAGGAAGAGTAACCTTTTAACCCACTGTCATCAAATATTGACCATTTTTATATTTTTCTTTTGTATTTATATCACATAGTAACTATAATTTGAACTGAGCAAAGTAGATAATTTAGTTTTTCATTTTATTGTGCCATTAAGAAACAACTTCAGGTTTGCATTTCTATAATTGAATCTTTATTCCTAATTAACTTTAAGAAGTACCTTACAATTGCTCAATTATTTTTCTGTTCCATATGTAGGATCTTACATTTCTCATTACATATTATTATTGAAGTCATTATGTCTCACCTTTTAGGATGTTTTATATAATTTACCTGAATGAAATTTTGAAGAAACATACTAGTTTGTAGTGGAATAAGCAAGGGCTTTGAAGTTTTTCATGAACAGATTGTAATGTTGGCTCTATCACTTTATAGCTATATGATGTTTGGCCAAAGAGTTCTACTTTGAAGATTCAATGAAACCTTAAACACTTACAGAATGCTTACTTTATGGCAACCACCAACTTGTTTTGTTATGTTATAACATTTAACTTTTATAACAACTCTATGCAGTAGCCTTTTTTTAAAGATGATTATAAACCTTTTTTTAAAGATGAAGAAATTTAGATTGAGGATTTAAGCAACTGCCCAAATTTAAATGGACAGCAAAATGGCAGAACCAGAATGTGAACCTAGCTTAGGAGCATACCACTATTCTCTTCCATATATACCAGACATCTGATTTGGTTCTTGACACCCATTAGGCATGTAAATACTTATTCTCCTTTTGCTTAGCATAAGTCCTCAAAGATTTTAAATATAATAAAAGGACTATTTCACAAAAATTTGACTGCTCTGATAATTATACCATCAATTTAGCTGAAAGAATAAGGGCCCTATTTCAAACTAGTATGGTGTCACATAACAAATTTTCCAATTCTTCCTGAATATAAATTTGTCTGAGCACTGTGGTATTTTCTTGATTCCTAATTTCTCATATTTAGAAGAATTGTTACCATACCATGACTTCTTATGAATTTAAAATATGAAGTTTGCTGATAGTACAGTCACCTGACATTGATGTGTCAGAGATGTTTGGTGAGGGTATGAATTGCAAACTGTGGAAATGGCTTATCCAAGAGAGCTTAATTTGTGAATGACTGTCCTGAGAGCACATGACATGAAATTTGAAAGAAAGATAAATGTTTCCTATTATTTAAGTAGTAGTAGTTTTCCAAGGATAGAGGTTGGACAGTGTCAGATATCAGATGCTCCCCCTTTCATTCCATTTACCAAACTAACAATAAGGAAGAGATTCTGTTGGAGGTAAGGGTCCCACAGGTCACTCATAACTGAATAGAAATGATATCAATAAGAAGAAAGGTTAGGGCAAGAATGAGGGAACTGGACTAAGATATAACTGGTAAAAGGTGACAAATGGAAAGGACATGTTTTTGAATTGTACTCTACATTTTATGAGCTAAATTATATACTTCCATGATATTAACTAGTTAAGGGACTTTGCTCTTTTTTGGAGAGTTATCTTTCACAAATGTCCAAGTATCTTCTAAAAAAGACTCAAACTAAAACAAATACAGAAATAACACTTTTTTTCTCTTGCTAGTAAGATGATAGAATTTGCAAGTTAATTTTTATTTGGAGCTTTTAACACAGTAAGTGCCATAGAAATTATGCTATAGACTTCTGATTTCTCAGATAATGAAGACAAATTTAATATAACTTTCCTGATGCTTAACTTCATATCTTTACATCAATATAGAGGATTGATTATTCTGGAACTGTGTGCAAAATTTTAAGGGATAATACTCAGTACTTAAGACAAGATGTGTATATATCTAGACCCTAAAAGAAGGAATTACTGAAAGAAAAACAGCAGTTATTTTTAAGGTGTGTTAAATTATGGTACCAATAGCAAAGGAATTTTTACAGTGTGGATTTATCTAAAAGGGCATATCACAAAATTCAAGTTCATAAAAAAGTAAGCACAAACTACATATACTTAAGCAAATAACCCACACGTGTGCTTTATCACACATAAATGCACATATACAAAAAATTACAGAAAACTTTACATATTTTTTCTCTCTTGTAAAACTACACGATTATTCTTTCTTTTTGCTAGGTGGCATTTTTGAATATGTGGAATCTGGCCCAATGGGAGCTGAGGAACTTGCGTTCAGATTTGCTGTGAACACAATCAATAGAAACAGAACGTTGTTGCCCAATACCACCCTAACTTATGACACACAGAAGATAAACCTCTACGACAGTTTTGAAGCGTCCAAGAAAGGTAAGTGACAAATATTTAACGTTGTATTTTCTGGAATTCAAATCCATAGATGTTCTTAAGAGATTTCTTAAGAATTCCAAATATAATGAATAGGTCATTAGATGAATAGGTCATTAGGAATATTTTCATGCAAATGTTTCTTTTCAAACTGCAGATAAATTTTATCAGGGAAAGTAAGGTGATATGATTACCTATTATAAAAAACCATTTATAGCATAAATTTATAGCATAAATTATATAAATTTATAGCATAAATTTATAGCATAAAAATCTAAATTCAGTTAGATCTATAATTGTTGTAAAATTGTTTACCCCGCCCCCCCTTGCCAATAACCCTTTTCTTACTAAATGATTCCTATTTTTAAGAACCCACTAAATAAAACTATACAACAGTGAATTTTACCTAGTTTTGGAATCCATTTTTACATTTTTATTGTGTTATCTGTCATTTCCAAGAACTATATTATTACTGTTGGCTCAATTTACTGACTACCTTGAAATTTCTGTAGTTCCAAATGACTTCATAATGTCAGCCCAATCTTAAAACTTTATTGGAAAATTTTCAACAGCCTTTCATTTATGTGTACTCCATGCCCGTTTTTAAAATTATTGGATGTTTCTTCTTGTAACTGAAAATAAATGACTAATGATATGAAAATTGAATTATAGGAAGATATAATTAGAATACTTTATAAATTTTGTCATTTCTTTTATTATGTTGTCAAACTGTGCATTTTAGTGATAAGAATAGAAAACTAACTTTGTGGAATATGAGTTTAACCTTTAGAAGGTAAGGAAGGTAATAGTGAAACTATTATCAAGGCATTGTTTTAACCAAACAATAACCTTGGTAGTAACTGTGTTTTGAGAGATGTTTCCATTGTCTTACTTCTCTAAGTGGGTGATCTTTTCTTTTGCATAGTTAGCATTCATCTATCAGTAATTAAATTTCATAGTATAGATTTTTTGCAAAGGAATGGGCTTACAAAGCATTTGTTCTAAATTCATATTTTTTTAAACAACATTACTGGGGCACCTGGGTGGCACAGTCGGTTATGTGTCCGACTTCAACTCAGGTCATGATCTCACAGTCCGTGGGTTCGAGCCCCATATTGGGCTTTGCGCTGACAGCCTGGAGCCCACTTCAGATTTTGTGTCTCCCTCTCTCTCTGCCCCTCCCCTACTTGCTTTCTGTCTCTGTCTCTCAAAATAAAATAAAGACATGAAAAAATAAATAAAATAAAATAAAACAATATTACCTTTCTGTAATGCCGGTATTGTTTTATTAGCTACCTTACGTTTATAGAAATGTACATAATTATGTATAATCCTAACTTGGTCCAGATTTCTTCTAATTTCATTAATATTAATGGCAACTGATAAGGTACAATATTCCTTGAGATGACAGTATCCTTTTTATCCCCCAGCTAACTAGTGTTTATCAAAGCCTAAATTCTGCCTGCCCTTTGAATTCATATCTTTGTGAATACAAATAAGTTTCCATATTTCAGAACCATGTCAGGGTGCTGAAAGGTTTTAAAGGCTGGAGAAAAGAGTAAAGGTTATTGTGAAACATTACATTTGTCATCATAATTGCAAAATAAGTCATTAACTGCAAGACAAGTGCATTTGATTAGTGACATAGTTCATGATTATTTCCATTAGTAAGAAGAAGCTCTGTCTCAAATGAAATCATTTAGACCAAAGAATATGGAATATGATTAAAGTATACAAAAATATTAATATCTTAATGGTGAATTCAAAGGAGCAATGTTATAAAACCACACTAGTGTGTTCTGACAGCAAACGGGTTACTATCTTGGGAATTATGAGGTGTTAAACTCCTTTGGTTTCCAAATATTAAAAGGTTTTTACAAACTTTGTCACCCATTAAAATCCAATGGGGATCAAACTCATTAAATGACTTTGCCTGAAACTGGAGAAAACTCAAATAAGCATAATTAAGTAACTTTCTCTGTGAGATGTTGAAAGAGTAAATGTCATGGTTTGGGTCTTACCTTGTGAATCTCCTGCTTACTGAGCTATTCCTGATTGGTAGGAGAAGCAATATGTGAAAGGTACAATGTAATATAATATTAGATAACAAAAGAGAGAGAAAGATCCGATATAATTTTTGAACCTATGGTGGTTCAGTAAATATATATAAATATAAAATAAAGTAGATATACATATATAAAATAATAAAATTATATTTTATATATAGTAGAATAATTAAAATAATTAATTTGGTCATTTAAAAATTGTTAATTATTTTCCCAAAGCAAGAAAATAATAAGAAATTAGATGTTTAAATTTTAACATTTTTCTCTGTAATATGATCTTATACTTTTCTTAAATAATACGGTGTTGCTTAGCAAATAAATACATTGATGTATTAGAGCTTAAATTATTATTTGAATCATCCATCACTTTTAAATGGTCCTCTGATAGCTGAAAGCTATTTCTTCTTTGAAACACATTTCAGAACATTCTATATAAAACAGTATAATGTTTTTAACTTTTTTCACCTGTGACCTCGCAAAAACCTGATAAAGAAAGATCTTTTATTTATTATTTATTCTTAATGTATATAAATTAAAATCCAAGTTAGTGAAAAATTTCAAGCTCCAACTTCACTACTGATTCAGAATTCCAATCACTATTTATAAAGTAAAAATCTACATATTCAATAAACGTACTTAGATCATATTGAATTTTTGAAGAAAATTTTAAAAATGTATTTTTTCAACTATACTTTATTTACTTATTAATGTTTAAGAATCATTCCATCACATTGTGTTTTATGTAATGAAATCTCTGAAGGTAATTTTGCTTCTCTAGAATTAAATTCAGTAGAACTTTAAACTATTTTGGATAGAATCAGTCTGAACACCTAATTAATGCCTAAATCTCAATAATAATTCTCCTTAGTACTCTTTAAATATTTACAGGGATGGGTAAACCAATGCCTCTTGGAACAGATTTCCATTTTTTGACATTTTCTACTTCCTTTTTATTTTTTTAATTTAAATTATTTCAAAATTTGTGATGAACTTCTAACTATTTGCCCTAATTCTTCCTTTTCTAGTCAGATGAAACAAACTTAAGCCTCTGTGCCAGACCAGATCTGCCAATATTTAAAGATGATTTTCATGATTCCAATAGTTATTTACTTTCTCAGCCCAAACTCCCGAGTTGCTTTGAGGGACACTATAGAATTTGAAGTCCTATCGTAGTCTATCTATTCTCATCTGAATACTCTAGTTTGTTTATGCCTTTTCTAATTACTGTATTTATTATTGATGTGAATAAAATTTTCAGTGAGTGAATACAAACCTCAAAAGTTAATTTAGAGCAATAGAAAAGAGTATACGAAAGTCAGATAAATAAAGATGATTAAATATTTATCTAATAATCTTGTTCTTTCTACTCGATGAGGTTAATTTATATGCAATCACCCTTGATAAGCCATATCAGGTTATAAAAGGGTATTTGTAATGCTTAGGTTGATCTATGCCATCAGATATATGCAAATACTTAGCTCTGTGTTGCCTTAGCTTTTCAGATGGGAGAAGCAACCAAATGGCTTCTGATTAAGAATTTAAAATTATAGAGGATGGTCAGTGAATTTGGAAGCAACACTATTTCCCCAACTTCCTGATATAAACTATTTTTTTCAAAGTGAACACTTCCCTTCTTTCTTAAATTCTAGAATATTCTTCCTTTTTCCCCCTTTTGGAATTATTTGTACAATTGTTTGAACATTGAGCTGCAGATGTCTTAAAGAATTTCCCTCCTGACAACTGAACATGTTTGGAGTCAGATAAAATATGAAAATTAGCTAAATGTAGGTGTTATTTATAAGGAAAACAAAATCTTTTTTCTGGATAAAGCTTCGGGCTCAAGATGCTAAAAGATGCTAATGTGGTAATGTTGACACACTGGCATCGCTCCTCATTATTGACGCACTTCTATCTCCTCCTCAGCCTGTGATCAGCTCTCTCTTGGGGTTGCCGCCATCTTCGGGCCTTCACACAGCTCATCAGCAAATGCTGTGCAGTCCATCTGCAATGCTCTGGGGGTTCCCCACATACAGACCCGCTGGAAGCACCAGGTGTCAGACAACAAAGATTCTTTCTATGTCAGTCTTTACCCAGACTTCTCTTCACTCAGCCGTGCCATTTTGGACTTGGTGCAGTTCTTCAAGTGGAAAACTGTCACAGTTGTGTATGATGACAGCACTGGTAAGAAAAATCAGTAGCCTTCAGGGCTCTGCTTTACATATACATAATGTTTTTTAATTTATTAAAATTCTCATTATATTCTTGTTTTGATTTTTAAATTAAGGTAAGAGATGGAAAGACATTTGGAATCAAATATCCACACCAATTTAACACATCCAAAGAACAGTTAAATCACATACTTTCTCTCTGTTTTGGAAAATAAGCACTTTTTTTCTTTTTCCTGTGAAGGGCCAGGTAGCATGAACTATAATAATGAAATACTATTTCAAAGAATTCTTCTAGATTCAGGAAAGTTTACCAAAGTCCTATGATTGACTATTAGTGAAACTTATCAAGAAATTCAGGATTTTGCCTCAGCATTTTCTCTAGCTGTTTAAGTACAAAAAAGTGTGTTTGAGAGGTAGAACTTTTATATCTGTATAGCATGTTAAAGTTTAAAATGTTTTTTCTCAAGTTTGAAACAATATCATGACCACTGAAATGCTCAGAGTTTTTGGACCTATTTATGTGTAGACATAGGGACTTGGAAAATACAATTTACTAAGTGGTATTTATTTTGATGTCTTTAATGAATATTTTAATCAATGTTTTCTGGCTAGAAGTTGTCTGTGCTTTCCTGTTTTTTAATGTATGTTATTAATTTTACATATGAGTAGTTGTTTTGAAGTAGCAATTAAAAGCACAACTCAGATAAATATATGAAAGTAGACATTAAAAATTAAGTGTTTTTTCTCCTTGAAAACCAATTATATTGGTAGAAGTTCATACTATTTTGGTTATCATATTGTGGTAGGAATTTCACATTAAGACGTTCATCAGTGGTCTAAATAATGCTCTTTAAAATAGACTGTAAAAATAATGTTTCATTCTAAGACATTTCACTATACCTTCATGTTTACACAAAATTTGGTATTCATTTGAATTTTAATTCTCCCAGAGTACTCCAGCAGCATACTCTGTTCATGCATGCAATAATTAGAACTATGTACAGGAATCTGTCCCTTTGTCCATAGAATTGACCATCTGCAAATAGATGTCAGAACTCTCCCAAGAGAACAGGGAACAGGAAGCCATAGGGTTGAGAACACAATGAAAGTACTTTGAAAAATATTTTCATTAAGCTAAAAAGAAAGAGTCTCAATACACATCAATAGAGTAATTTCACTTTTCTGCTTTTAAAAAGTGAAATGTTTTACAAATAGTTTTAACTTAGAAATACATCAATAAAAGCCCTTCAAAAAATAACTAAGTACCTTCAGTGTGCCTTTTAATTCAAATTAGACTTAATAAGTTTGTTGCATGATGTTTTGCTTCCAACTCATCACTTTTCTGTCATTGGTAAAGTTCTATATATCACATTATAAATGGTAGATTCTATGTGAATGGTTTTTTCGAGTTGCATAATATGATGGTCCAGAGCATCCTCAGTTACAAATTTGTTCACATATGTTTTTGAATGGTTATATACAGAAATATATAAATATGAGTACACATGCATTATGAATCCATGGATGATTTACTTCTCCATTCCCTCTGATATAATTCAAGTGAATGCTGTCCAAATATCACATGCCTTCATATATATGTACACACATATGGTATATACACACACATATACCAACACATATAGGTGTATGTTATACATGTGATATTTTTATTTATATCTTATTATCTTAAACTCCTCATGGCTGGGGCACCTGGGTGGCTCAGTCGGTTAAGTGTCGAACTTCAGCTCAGATCATGATCTCACTGTTTGTGAGTTCGAGCCCTACGTCTCCTTTGGATTCTATATCTTGCTCTCTCTCTCTCTCTCTCTCTCTGCACCCCACCTCACTTGTACGCTCTCTCTCTCTCTCTCTCTCTCTCCATCTCAAAAATAAATAAACATTATAAAATACTCCTCATGGTAGAAAGGGTATTGGAAAGTTCAAAATATTTATGGATATAACACCTTCTTCACTATTCTGTGTATGTGTATATGTTGTATTGTAACATTTTTATTCCATGTATGTAGATTTTGAGTGACTGACTAAAAAGATAATGGAATTTGTTATCAAGATCAAACAACAGTTTGATAAAGTAAAGCTTCATATGTAATTGATCTTTTGCTTTAAATAATATTCTAATCATTTATATCATTGAAGCAAATTTAAATAGGAAAGTAAATGTAATTAATTCAGTGTATATACCTTTAATGGAGACTTGATCTCAGACTATATTTATTAAAATAATTGTTACTATTTAAAAGAAGCTTCACCACACTCCTCCCTTTAAAAGTGGCAGAGATGCTTGGAGATTCTAAAATCTGATGATTTAAATATTAATAGTCACTACAGAATTATTTGTAGAGTCGGTATACCTTATAAATATTCTGAGGAGAATGAAAGCTTATGATTGCTCTAATTTTACAATATTTAATTTTTAAAATATTGACCAGTCACCTACTACATGCCAAGAACCATTGCAGGTATGTTGATGCCAATGAAAGAAACAAAGTCCTGGACCTGATTGAGCTTCAAGTTCCTACTTAGGGATATGTGATGGCCCATGTTTTTACTATATTTGTAATGAGCTAATAATGTTTGCAACTGGCCACTTGTAGTCCCTTTTAATTTAACACTTTTGAGAATGTGGCTGTTCTTGATATTTTTTTATAGGATAGAACTGACTCGAAGATTCCCTTTGAAATGTATTCATAAATATATGGAAGTAGACATTTTTTTGTCTTTCCAGATATGTTTAAAAGTCTCAAGGTAGTATTTTCATTCTAGAATTCAATAGAGAGGATTTGTAAACTTCCCAAGTGAACAAGATGTCTATTTGATCATGTCCAGCACAATCTGATATTAGCAAGGACTGAACTGAAATGGGAAAAAACCCACCTTATTCTCAGCAAGATAAACATTATTGACTCCATTATGGATTTATGTATCTGCTGTTTACTTCAGGACACACTGTGCCGTTTTATTTACATTTCCTTTTTCCCTTTCCAGATTTATTTATTATGTATGCTGGTCCTCCCATTTATATTCATTTCTATTTTGTTGTGTTGTCCAGTTTGATACATGATAATTATACTTTTATCCAGTCTTTGTTCCCACCCCCAAAACAGATGGGATGATAGATGAAATATAGTGCTGGAGTAGGAGAAATTCTTAGAATGATGTTAACAGGAACTGTTTTATTTTTTATGATAATTAGCATTTGTTGTTGTCGTGGATGAATGCTTTTAAACACCCTGAAAATCTGTTATAGCTCTGAATGATGTCCAAAAATGATGGAGAAGAATTGGCTTCAGAAACAAAGCTGTGTTTCTGTCAGTCATTTTGGAACATATGATTCACTTTAAATATAAACTAAAAATAAGTTGGATAGCTGTCAGCTCGTAAGCAATTCCAGGATAAGTTCTGAATATTTGCTTTAAAATCCCCGTGTTTCATCTTTGTTTATAGACCAGCAGTCCATTAACAAAGAACTCTGGACTGGTAAACAGAAGCCTGAGATTCTATTCCCAGTTTTGCTACTAAATGACTGGCACAACTTTGGAAATTAGGAGAATAGAATGAAAATAACTACAGAAAGGGGCTATAATGCACTAGGCATTGTGGTAGTTGAGATTATATAAACTCTTCCACTTAATTGTCAAAACAATTCTACGAGTCCCAAAGGAAATAGGTTATCATTCCATCATCCCTGCTTCCTTCAGTGAGTGACTGGCTCTTCTGCCCACCAGTGGCCATTAAACTTCTTTTTAAGGTTGCCCAAAGTACTATTCTGTTCACTTGGAAACTCTCATTCTGGTCCTCACTCCTCTGCTTCACTAAATGCGCACACATGTGCACGTGTGCATTTGCACATACATGTCCATGCATACCATCTGGCTGAGATGTTACAAAGAAATCTACCCCAAACTGGGGCCCCAAGGCTGGAATAGGTTTCCTCTAACACATCCCCGCACTTGGTAATCCCATGACCCTCACCCGTGAGAGCTATAATCACATTATGAATGACTTTCCTTGGCTGTGTTTTCCACTGGATCAAATACATGTCTGGCCAGAATGAGTCCTAATTCTATTAACTATTCTGTCATTAGCACGTAGGTATTACCTGTCTTATTGATATATCTTCATAAGTATTTAAGGAATAAATGCTTAAAGAGGTATTACTATATCCATTGTTTAGACAATGAATCTCAAATGGATTAAGTAACCTGCCCAAGGTCAGTTTAGTTTAGGTCACTTTTTAGTACTTGTATTGAATAAATAGATTCAACATTTTTCAGAAATTATACACAGACATGATTTCTTCTATCATTTGAAAACCTGTATAAGAAAGCTAGCATGAATTGTGCTTATATTCCATTTTAACTGCAATTAAATACATATTTATTCATTTACTTTTAAAAATAGTCATTATTTAGTGAGTGGGCAGTCATGGAGATTGATATAGAAAAGGGGAGGAATTAAAGGAGAGACTATAAGTTATTTTAATTAATGAAGAGAATTAGTTATTTTTAAGGTATTATAATTATTTAACAGGCTGATCTTTGTTTACTGTCTATGATACCAGTATAGAAAAAAGGCCACAGCCTTTATCCTAAGGAGCAGGAATGCTTTCTTTACTAACTTTATTAACTTGGATGAAGTATATGTGTAGACTATGTTCTAGATATGTTTTTGTGTGCTTTTGGAGTTAGTTTAATAAAATATAAAATCAATTAATAGTAAAAACATATTTTATCTTAGATCTATATTTAAATAGGATAAAATAAGATAATTCAAGAGAATAAGTTAATATGAAAATATATATTCCTGGAAGACACTAATTTTCAGTATTATAAGTATTTTTGTATTATAAAACTTATAACCAAATAATTTCAATTTTATTTCAGGAAGTGGGGTAATTAGGATCTAAGATGATTATACGTTGTACATTCTAAGTGCAAAGCTCGAAGTTCTTTAATTCCAAGTGCGCATACAGTTAGCAATTATGAGTTAAGC